TCTATATTTTTCTCCCACTCTGTTCTGGACATTCTTGATTAGAGTGGTTGGTAATGGTGGCCACCACCACTCACCTGTCAGTTTGCCATACTATGGTGGCTTATGAGTTGCTATAATACTGGAAGCTATGCCAATGGTATTTTAAATACTAGCAGGGTAACCCATGGTGGACAGGTTTCAGTGGAGCATCCAGACTAAGACAGATTGGGAGAAAGAATGGGCAAACAACTTTTGAAAAAAAATGGTCACTGAAAACTTTGTGAATAGCAGTGCAATATTGTCTGCTATAGGGCCAGAAGATGTGCCCTTCTTTGGAAGGCAATCAAAATACCACTGGTGAAGTTCTGCCTCCATAGAGTTGACTTAATGATGTGGATGGAGTAAAGCTTTGGGGACCTTCATTTACTGATGTGGCATGACTCAAAATGAGAATAAACAGCTGCAAAAATCCATTAACCATCAGAACATGGAATGTACAAATTATAAATCTAGGAAAATTGGAAGTTGTTAAAAAAAAAAAAAAAAGAAAGGAATGCATAGAGATTGATATCCTAGATATTATGGAGCTGAAAAGGAGCTCTGGTAGTGTACTGCCTAAGGCATTTGACTGCTAACAGGAAGGCTGGCTGTTCAAACCCACCAGTCCTGGAAAGGAAGACTGGGCAATCTACTTCCATAGAGATACTGCCTCAGAAACCCAAGGAGGGGTCACTATGAGTTGGAACTCACTTGACCACACTAAGTTTGGTTTTGGTTTTTTTTTAAATGAGCTGAAATGGAATGGTACTGGCCATATTGAAATGGACAATAATATGGTCTACTGTGCCAGGAATGAAAAATTGAAGAGAATGAAGTTGCAATCATTATTGAAAAGCAACATTTTACAATCTATCTAAGTACAATGCTGTCAATGATTGGATAAAATCCAGATGCCTATATGAAGACCAGTTAACATGACTATTACTTAAATTTTATGCATCAACCACTGATGCCAAAGATAAATAAATTGAAGATTTTCACAGTATGAAAGTGACCAAACATACAATCATAAACCATTGATAAATACTGGTGATTGAAATACAGAAGTTCAAAACAAAGACAGCATCAGTAATTGGAAAATATGGTCTTGATGATAGAAGTGACACCAGAAATCACATGACAGAATTTTGCAAAACCAATGACATGTTCATTGCAGCTACCTTCACTAAACAACGTAAACACCAACCATACATGTACCTCTCCAGCTGGAATACACAGAAATTAAATCAACCACATCTTTGGAAAGAAATGATAGAAAAGCTCAAACCATCAGTCAGAACAAGACCAGGGTCTGGCTGTGGAACAGAACATCAGTTGCTCATATGCAAGTTTAACTTGAACCTGAAGAAAATTAAAACAAATGCACAGGAGCCAAAATACAACATTGAGTATATCCCACCTATATTTAGAGACTATCTAAAATATAGATTTGATACATTGAATACCAATGACCAAAGATCAGACAAGTAGGATAACTTCAAGGACATTATACATGAATAAAGCAAAAGGTCATTATAAATATAGGAAAGGAAGAGAACAGCAAAATAAATGTAAGAAAAGACTCTATAATTTGCTCTTAAATGAAGAAAAAAATGTCATTAAAAAGCTGAACAGAAGATTTCAAAAAGAGCTCAGAGGATAAAGTATTATAATAAAATGTGCAAAGACCTGGAGTTGCAAAATCCAAGTACAAGAACACACCTGGCATTTCTCAAGCTGGGAGAATTGAAGAAAAATTTCAAGCCTCAAATTGTAATATTGAAGAATTCTATGGGCAAAATATCGAATGATTCAGAAAGCATCAAAAGAAGATGGAAGAAATACACAGCCATTGTACCAAAAAAAAAAAAAAGTTGGTAGTTATTCAATCATTTCAGGAGGTAGCATATGATCAAGAACTAATGGTACTGAAGGAAGAAGTCCAAGCTGCACCGAAGGAATTGTTGAAAAACAAGCCTCCAGGAATGAATTGTGAAACACTCATTGAAAAGTTTCAATAAAAGGATGCAGCACTGGAGACGCTCAGTTGTTTATGCCAGGAAATTTACACAATGGCTACCTCACTGTGATAGTTGGAGCTGTGTGTCAACTTGGCTGGACCACAATTCTGTGTGGTTTAAGCAATTGTGATATGGGTTGTTCCCATGATGGGATCATATATATATATATATATGTTTTGAGCAGTCAATCCATTGAAAGGGAGTTTCCCTAGGGGTGTAGCCTGATTCTAGTATATTTATGGACATCCCGGGAAAAGAAACATTCTTCTGTGGATCAGGATTCTGTTGTGCTGCCTACAACAGTCCGTGAGTGAAAAATCCACCATTTGGCCTGGAGATCTTGGATTCATCATTCTTTGGAGTCAAAAGGCAGTATACTGCTTGCCAACCTTGAGCTCATCAGCCCCTGAAGCTGTGTGAGTCAGGAAACACCTCCAGCTTAATGTTTGATCCAAGAACTTGGGACTTGCCAGCTTCTATAAGTGTGTGAGCATTTTCCTAAGATAAATTTCTCTTTCTGTCTATATATAAGCTTTACTGGTTTTGCGTCTTTAGAGAACCCAGTCTAACACACTCACCAACAAACTAGAAGAGATCCATATTTGTGCCCAATCCAAAGAAAAGTAATCCAACTGAATGTGGAAATTATCCATCAATATCATTAATATCATATACAATTAAAATTTTGCTGATGATAATTCAAAAGTAGTTGCACCAGTAAATGACTGTCAGACACTCAAGGTGGATTCAGAAGAGGGCATGGAATGAAGGATGTAATTGCTGATGTCAGATGGATCTTGGCTGAATACAGAGAATACCAGAAAGATGTTTGCTTGTATTTTATTGACTATGCAAAAGCATTCGACTGTGTGGATCATAATAAATTTTGGATAGTATTATGAAGACTGGGAATGTTAGAATGCTTAATAGTACTCATGAAGAACCTGTACATAGGCCAAGAGGCAGTCATTCAAATAGAACAAGGGCATAGTGTGTAGTTTAAAATCAGGAAAAGTATGTGGTGTCAGGGTTATGTCTTTTCACCATACATAATCATTTTTTTATGTTAAGCAAACAATCCAAGGAGATGCACAGCATCAGGATTGAAGGAATACTCACTAGCAACCCATGATATGGAGATAACACAACTTGACTTGCTGGAAGTGAAAAAGGAATTGAAGCACTTACTTATGAAGATCAAAGACTATATAGCCTTCAGTATGGATTACACTTCAATATAAAGGAAACAAAAGTTCTCACAACTGGACCAATAATTAACATGATGATAAATGGAGAAGCGTTTGAAGTTGTCAATCCATCATTGGATCCACAATCAATGTCCATGGAGTCAGCAGTCAAAAAAACCAAATGATGTACTGCATTGGGCAAATTTCTGCAAAAGATCTCTTTAAAGTGTTAAAGAAAAGATATCACTTTGAAAATAAAAATGTTCTTGACCCAGCCATGATATTTTCAATAGCTTCATATGCATGTAAGAGCTAGACAATGAATAAAGAAGAGCTCAGAAGAATGGATACATTTGAATTGTGGGATTGATGAAGAATACTGATGAATCATGTGCTGGTAGAAGAATGAACAAATCTGTCTTGGAGAAATGACAGCTGGAATGCTTCTTAGAAGCAAGAATGGAAGACTTCGTCTCACATGTTTTAGTGATGTTATCAGAAGGGCCAGTACCTGGAGAAGAATGTCATTGTAGAGAAAGAAGAGGGTCAGAGAAAGAGGGGAAGACCCTCAATGAAATTGACTGACACAGTGGCCATGATGATGGGCTAAATGATGGCAAAGATTGTAAGTATGGCATACAACTGGGCAGTGTTTTTTCTGTCATATCTTTTGCTTATGTTCTGTTCCTATGAGCCAGAAGAATTTTTACAGCACCTGACAATAATAATAATATTGGCATTGTCAGACTTTTTCATTGTAGACACTCTGGGAGATGTGTTAACTAAGTAATTTGTTTTATTTTGTATTTCTCTGATGCCCAATGCTGTTGGGCATCTTTTTGTGTGTATATTGACTATTGTATATCTTCTTTCATGAAGTGTCTGTTGAAACCTTTTGGCCTACTTTTATATTGTGTTTATCTTCTATTACTAACTTGGAAGAGTTATTTACATGCTCTGAATACAATTTGCTTGTCTGAGACATGACTTATGTTTTAGTTACCTAGTGCTGCTCTAAGGCATTTGACTGCTAACCAGAAATCTGGTGGTTCAAACCCACCAGCCACTCCTCCAAAGGAAGGTTGGACAATCAACTTCCATAGTGATACTGCCTCATAAACCCAAGGAGGGGTCGCTATGAGTTGAATAAATGGATTTTTATGTTACTCTTTGGGAGTACCGACTAAAAAACAAACTCACTGCCATCAAGTCAGATCCAGAGTAGTTTTTCTTTTAATTATTCATCATAACTGTCTGGTGATTCATCCAGGTTGTTGCATGTATCAATAGTTTACACTTTTCATTCTTCAGTAGCATTTGGTGTTATGGAAGTAATAGTTTGTTTAACCTTTCACCCATTGAAGGATGACTGACTTGTTTCCACTTTTGTTCTATTACTAATAAAGCTGCTGTAAAGATTCATGTGAAAGAGAGAGAGAGAGAGAGAGAGAGATGAAAGGCAAAATTGGTGCAGCCTGAACAAGGAGGATGAAGTGGCCAGAGAACTGTGGCTAGGAGATGGGAGTGATAAGGATGGTAGGGCTGGCTAGTGAAGGTTTATGTCTCAGTGAGGATTCCCAATTCACACAGGAACCAGTTCAGAAGCCTTAGAGTGCTGAGTAAAGATTTAGGAACAGAGGAAGAGAACAGTGAGAAGCAAATGGCAGTACTGTCACCAAGTGGAGGAGATGGGAGAACACCATGGGTGGCCTGTGCTGGTGGAAGCCACCCAAGAACCAGGGAATCCCCAACACACCCAGCCTAGAATTGTCCATCACATCTGTTTCACCTTCCTGGATCCACACAGACACCTGGCCACCATGCATAGCAGCCTGCCACAGAGCCATATGGAACCTAGAGTGACCATCAGCAGGAACAAGAAGACATCAAGCAGGTACTGCTCATACCAGAGCTGCTGGAAGGCATAGGGCTTGAGGTGTGCTCCACCACATGTCTGGAGGATGTGGTCAATCCAGCCCACCAGCCACTGGGAGGGGTTCAGAGGGTAGGAGCGCCTGATCACACTAGCGGCCATGGCTGCAGACTTGTACCTGTTGGCAGATATAGAGGAAGCATTACTCAGGAGATGAACTTTTTCTTTAAGATGTACAAAAGAGGGAGTTTCAAAGAAGAGTTGTTGATCTGGCCATGTCTATCTTGCAGGGTCCTTTCCAAAATTCAATAAGCAAATTTATGTATAAAGATGCACACAAGATGCTAAAGGAGATAAAATATTGAAATACTGTACATTTATTGAACTAATCCTTATCCCCAAGGAAGTTAATGATGGACTATGGGATAATAACTTATGATGGAGTTATGGTATTATAATATATATTAAACACCTTCTTGGTGACAGGCTATCAAAAAGACACTGCATTCTCCTACACAACCACAGCATCAAGTAGACAGGGTGGCTTCAAGGGCATAAAGATTGTGCAGTACCACAAGGGCCATGCACTTAGAACTACCAGGTACTTGATTTATTGTCTGCATTTTCCATCTTGAAATTCCTAACACATTTTTAACTAGGGTACCATGTTTTCATATGCACCAGTCCACAAAAATTGTAGAGACAATCCTACTGTTGCAAAATGTCTGGGGATGACTCCAGACTAGAATGAGCTCTAAGCAAGGGTCAGAGGTTCTTGATCTCTTAAGATCTCAGGACTTTGAGAAGCCAGTGAAAGCCACCTACCCATTCTTCAAAAAATAAATATTTACAACACATGACATAACAAATATATTAAAAATCCCCAGGGTTAACAGAATACTTCAGGTTAAAATCTCCTTGCTATACAGTTATCTTACAATCATGCAACAAAACAATTTTTAGTGTCTCTTATATGCAAAGAAGTCTCATTAAGCACTGAGGTGTGATTGAGAGTTAGTGCCCTTGAAGTTCTGTTAGGGGAATTCAGTCCTTCATAGTAAGGTCATTGTGCTGGATAGCCAGTTACCACGAAGGTCACCTGGCCCTTCTTTACAATCACATAACAGAAATCATTAGTCCCACACTCTATGGCATGCCTTGCACTGCAGCCTGGGAATACCATGGATTGCATGAGACACACCTTGCTATCCTCATGGAGCTGACTATCTAGTATGGGAGACTGACAAGAAATAAAAATATAAGCAAACAGGACAATTACAGAGCCTGATGTATGTTAAGAAGGAAATAACATAATTGAGGTGAGTGAGAGAGGAGACTAGCTTTGGTGGGCAGAGAAGGACTCTCTGAGATGGTAATGTTGAAGATGGACCAGAATGTCATGTAAGAGCCACCCAAGGGAAGAGAAGGGAAGGAATGTTCTAGAGAACAGCATGGGCAAAGACCCTGATGTGGAGAAGATCTTGATGTATTGGGGGAGCACAAAGGCAAAATCCTGCCTCAGTGGAATATAATTTTAAGGATGCCAAATGCCTAAAACCTTTATCAAGATCTATCTGATATCAGAGATGCAAGTACTTCTGTGTAATGTTTGTGTCCCCAACACTCTTTAAGATAAAAAATTATGCTCAGCCTCTAACCTAAATTCCTCTAGGCTTGCTTCAGAGGAAACAAGTCAGATGTTAGCATACTTGTTTATTATTATTCATTGCCTGGGATACTTCACCTTTATTATAAAGGAGACCCACACAGTGTCTTTGATATATAGGGCAATGCTTCCTTTGACCTAAGTGACCACATGCCCAGAGAGCTGCATACCTCTTGTTTTCTATGACTTGTTTCATCTTAAGAGCAAAAGTCTCTTCCTTGAGCTGCTTTAACTGGATAGCAACACCAAAGTTTTTGGCTTCTACTCGCACTAAGTTTTCAGGCTGGTCTCCAAAGAGTGGAATCCCCACCATGGGCACACCATGTTGGATGGCCTCCATTATGCTATTCTGCCCGCCATGGGTGACAAAAAGATGGATGCTGGGGTGAGCTGTTTCAAAGAAAACAGGACATTTGAGAATGTGCACCAAAAGCAGCACAAAATGTCAAGGGGATCTCAAGCTGTTGCTGGAGCCATTGTAATTACACTGAATTTGTTTGAGATACCCCAAGCGTGCATGTTCCAAGATTCAAGATTCTAAGTCTGATCTCTATACAGAGGGTCAACCCCTTTCAAAAAAACCATTGAGATCCCAGAGAAAGCTTCAGAGAAGGTGCTATATATCCAGCCACACATACATACATCCTTCCATACATACATACATCATGCATCCATCTTTCTCTTCTCCCTGTCTCCTCTTTCCTTCTCTAATCTCTATTTGTTCACTACCTCTTTGCCCTCACTTCATCTTCCCCACTGCCCAATTATTTTGCTCTTCTCTGAATTCTAATGTATTAATTGACATCACAATTCATGTGTCATTGAGAAAACTTACACTGCATTGTCATCTTTAGAGTTTCCATGAGTTTTCTCTTCAATTATATGAGAAGCCTCAGAAATCAGGGAATAGCCCCCACACACACACCATAGTACATATAGTCCCTACCTTTCTATCACATCCTTATTGAGATGATACTAAAATGATTAGTGATAATGAAGACATCATCCCAACCTGCACCTCTCAACTGCAATGTACATCAAAACTTTCTTGTGAACTCTGAAAATAGGGGTCATTAGTCCCACATGACCCACTATGAAACACCTTTGTGACAGTGGGATCAGGAACATGTTTTTAATTTTAATTATGAGCTTTGATCCAGCCAGTACGTATGTCAGTGATGGTGTCCAAGGAAAAGCACTGGACACAGAGAAAAGAAAGAAAAAAAAAAAAAAAAAAACCACAAAACCTTTGGTGCTTAGTGATCTGATCTTAGAGAACTCTATGAGCAAACTCTATGGCTTTGGTCTTTTGGTAGAATCAAAAAAAATCAGTGATGAGTTTTCTTATCTCAGAAATCAAGTGTTATGGTGTATCTAAAAGACATTGTTGGCATCAACATGGTGAAAGTATGAGCTTTTCACGTCCTTAGTTATATAAGGATAATGTGTGTCTATGTATGTATGTATGTGTGTGTCCTCCATGTGTTCTATTCATGGAGGTCACAAGTTGTCATGGATACTATCTGAGTGACCTTGCTCAGTGCAAATGCACTGGAGTCAAGGAACCTAACAAAGAATATCATTTTTGGGTGAGAACACTGGGCATGGAAAAGAAAGGAATGAAGAGGAGGTAGCTGCTTGGGCATCTACTCTCATTGAAAGCACAGCCTGATTCACAAGGCTCCGGCAGGTTGTTCCTCTCCCACCCTCTGAATCCCTGCCATAGGCTACCATCTGCTTCCTTCTTGTGCTGCTGGGAATGGACAAGGAGAGATCACAGACCTGATGAACCATAAAGACATGTAAATGGAAAAAAAGAAGCAGATCTGGGAAGGCCTTGCCCAGGAGGTCACTCTAAGGAAGCCAGTCCACAATTTTCACATTTGCTGCCAATTGCACATCTTTGGGCCAATGTGAACACTTATATTTCCATATTACTCCTTGAGGAAGATGAGCAAAGGCATTGTTCATCTCCTTGAGAAGCTCTTGGTTTTTATAGAAATTTAACATGAAGCCCAGGGACACAAAGATAAAATCAGACTCTCCAAACTTGGCTATGAAGCTCTCAAGGTCCTGAGTATAAGGAACAACAGAAAAGGAGGGGAATGAAGTTATTTATGATAACAAAGAGTTCAAGTGAAAGGTAGGCTATTTACTAAACACACCCTTCCCTCAGTGACTTCATTTTTAAAAAACTATTCTCGTAGACCCTGCAACAACTCAGCACCCTCTGTACTGCTTCTATGCCCAACGTGTGGATGGTCTGAAGTTAATTATTCTAAGACCTTAGAGCATATTTTTCCAAGATACGTATATTAAATAATCACAGATGAGGATGACGTGAATAAGGCTTTTAGATTACTAGCCACATCAATAGACACATGAGATCCTCATAACAAAATACAGCACTACCAGTTCTGTATCTAACTCTCATATACAACAGTAATTTACGGAACAGGGAAATGACATAGGGGAACATCCTTCTTCATTGAAAAACCATGAGTCCAGCATCAGGATCATCCTCCAAACCTCCACCCAATTTGATCAAGGGAGACATGATCATCTGGGAGTTTTCCAGGGCTAGGACAAATGTGGTAGCTGGGAAGTCCCGACCCAACAGGGGGAAGTCCCGACCCAACGGGGGGAACTGAGCTGAGTGGAGAAGCTGGAGAAGATCTCCAACATAAGAAGTAGAGGCAAAATTGGCTAAGGTTCTTCATTCAGTGTGCAATTTAGCATGTTTTGCACAAATATTCAATGATTTGTCAGTCACTGAGGTTGACACTATATTCACACCCATGTGTACACCTTACAAACACTTAGGAAGATTTTTTCTGAGTGCTGATGTCCATGTGCAATGCAACTTGGGCATGGTAATTTTTTTTTTTTTTTTTGGTCTCTGTTGTGGATTGAATGTAACCACACAAAAGTATATGGAGGAATCTTAACTCTTATACTTGTGGATATAATCCTTTTTGGGAATAAGGTTTTCTTCATTATATTTATGAGGATCAGCATAGGCCGTATTTTGGACCTAATCACTTTTGATATATAAAAAGGGCAAATTGGGCATAGAGAAAAGTGAGAATTAATGGGGAAACACAGGTGGCATGTGGTGATATCCAAGGAACTCAGAGAAAAATGGTAGAGAAACTGAGACAAGGACCTTTCCCAGACCTGAAAGAGAGAACCTGCCCCAGAGCTGTCACCCTGATTTTGGGCTTCTAGGTTCCTAAATTGTGAGAAAACAAACTTCTTTCCATTAAAGCAACCCACTTGTGGTATTTCTGTTACTATAGCACTAAAAACTGAGACAGTCCCCCAGGAACTTTTCAGCAAAGGTTGTGATCTTAAATCTTAGCTAGATTTAGACCCTAAATCTTAGCTTTAACACAGGTTTGTAAATTCTTACTTTCTAATATTTCTTTGGACATTAACTATCTCTCATTTCTTTGGCTGCCCCCAGCTCCCAATGCCTTGTCCTACTGGCAAGCTCTGCCATGCCTGAACACGACCCTACTCAACGTAATACTATGGGATCTACCATCCCAGAGGACCACTCAAAGACAATTTGTTGTCCTTTTAAAATGACCAAAGCCATGTAAGATTATATAAAAATTGAAAAATGCAGAGAAGGAAAAAATTATAAAAAACAAGCATCGCATCTCACAGCCACTATTACCTTTAATTCCCATTGTTCTCCTACTTAACCATTCCCTCCCCCAGGCCCAGGACCAAGCCCTGACCAACATTCATGCCAGGTAATACCCCTAGATTTGGCCTGAATTTATTTATGCAGTTGAATATTCCAGTACTCCAGTCTGGACAGAGTCACCAGGGAATCTACTGTTTCCTATAACTCAACTTCTTAACAATTCTTCCATAAAATGCCCAACTCACTTCTACTTGCACCCTTTAGGACTTTGTTCTCATCACCTGGTGTCTCTCCTCAACTCTTCCTGCTCACTCTATGTAAAGGCATTAGAGGAAGGATAGAAACTAGCCAGGGCCAAACTTCACCTTTCCTGGCCTTTGAGCTGAATGCTAATGGCAAATCTCTCCCACCACCTGAGCCTCTGGCTCTTACTTTGTAAGAATGGTGATCATCATACCTCCCTCCAGGTCCCAGGAGATGACATAAGAAAACTTCCATAAAAGTGCTGCTAGACAAAGACAGCCAACTGACAGCTCTCCTCCATTTTGAAAACTTCCATAGCCTGGATTCTGACACCAGGTTGCCCATCAGAATCAGCCGGGAAGCCTTTCACAACTGATGGGGCTTATGTCCTAACCAAGACCAAAAACTCTTGCTGTCAGTTTCACACAGACCTGCCCCAGGTTCAGCCTGTTTCCTGCAAGTCATTTTCTTAACAATTCTTGCTTATAATGGGTTCTCACTACATATTTATTGTATGTTATTGTTTGTTGTTGGTTTCCTTAAAGTCTTTGGAATCCCGGGGTGAAAATGGGTGGCAATAAACAGTGGATTACTAATTGAAAGATTAGTGTTTCAAACTCATCTAGAGGTGCCTCAGAAGACAGCCCAGGCCTGGCCTGGCATCTGCTTCTCAAAGGTTACAGTCTTGAAAATCCTAAGAAGCAGTTCAACTCTGCACACATGTAGTTGCCATGATTCATTTTATACGTAATCATAAAAAACATAAAGGAAAATATCAACTTTCTAAATAGCTTATTCCATTAGGGCCAGGACTAGGATAAGGAAAGAGAGGAGCTTAAGGCACATGACTGAAGAACATCCTCAGTCCCAGAGCTGACCTGGTACTTGCACAACTCTGAGACATAGGGGTAGACAGTACCCGTATGTGCCTCCCCTGCCTGCTTATTTCAATCGTAGGTTCCCACTGGCAGAAGAGAGACACCAACTCTGCACTGAAGGCCTCTGCATGAAATCCAAATTGAGTGCTAAGGTTTTACTTACTTGTGGTATTGGTTTAACAGGCTTGGCCATTAAGCCTCCAACATAAACAGTAGAAGGAAGCAGGGGCTGAGCAAATTCAAAAGCAAAGTCAGAGTTAACAAACCATAACTCTGCTTTCTGTACAAGATGAGAAAACACTGGTCTAGAGCCTTCTGGGAAATGCTCCTTGATGGTGCTGTCATACTGAGAATACATTTGCCATTGCTTCCTAGAAAAATCAAAGAACATCAGAAGGTTCTTCATTTGTCCCCAGAAGTCCATGCGGTCAGTTAGCAAGGAGTAGACTACTGGAACATAGGACATGGGGCTGGGTAGCCTTAAGTCCTGAAACCCAAATGAAGCAGGAAGAAAGGATACAAATGGTTTCTCAAGCTTCTCAGCAATCAGAAAAGTATAACAATCAAAACTTTCCACTATTAACAGGTCAAAGTTCTCATTCTTTAAGGAATCCATGATATCCCTTCTTCTTAGCAAATGACTGCACTGAATCCCAAGTTGTCCCATGAATTGTAAAATGTTATCAAAGTTTGCTCTGTAAGAAAGAAAATAAATGATAAATTTTTGTGAGATGTGTTGATTTCAGGATACGTAATGAGTCTTGAGACCCAAAGAAAATATTCCAGCTAAGCAAGAGCATATCTTGCAACAACATAATTATTTGACCACTGTTTCCTAAAAATCCTCTACTCTGATCACTCTTGTCTAGGTGTTTCTGCTCCAGAGCATGTTCAGTTCCTCCCCTCCCCTTTTCACTTCTCAGCCAAATCCTATTTCTCAGTAATAGATTGAGGGCCTTCTTCTCTAGAAGTCATCTCTGAGCATAGCAGACCTCACAAATCTCTCTCTACTTGATAAATTCTGTGATGCTTTCCTTAGCCTTCACTGACATACTGACTTTTTATGAATGACTGTCTTGTTTCCCCAGGGAATTGCTTTGTTCGTCTTGAAGAGAGTCCCATGAATATTGATGATAGTCCTTATTTTTAAATCAATATGTATTCTGCATTTGACAGTTTGCCTTCCCCAGAGGACTGTTTGATGTTAATAATAGAGTTTAAAATCTCAACTAAAAATAATATTTCCACCTTCTATTCCCAGAAGTTAAGCCATTTGAAAATGAATGAATAAAAACCCTTGTAGTGAAGCCTACTGTTAGTCTTTTCAGTTCAGTGCTGACTGGGATATTTAGAGGAGGTAATGCCATAGCTTTACACCAAAAACTAAACCCACTGCCATTGAATCAGTTCCAACTCCTAGAGACCACCCATCATGTTTCCAAGTTTGTAAATCTTTACAGAAGTAGATTGCCTCATGTTCCTCCTGTGGAGCAGCTGGTGGATTCAAACCACCTACCTTCTCAGTTAGCAGCCCAATGGCTTAACTCCAAAACACCAAACTCACTGACGTTGAGTCAGATCTGACTCATAGCAACCTCTCCTTCAGTTTCTGAGATGTTATCACTACAGAAGTAGAAAGCCCAACTTTCCTTCAGATAAGTCTGGTGGGTTTGAACCTCCAACCTTCTGGTTAGCAGTCAGGTGCCTTAGGCTATGTCTTAACTACTGACACCAAATTTAAAATTTTATTGATGGGACCATTTCAGGGATCTATCTTCTTACAATGATTTCTCATTGTTAAAAACCAGTTCTGACTTATGTATACCCCATGTGCTTCACAATAGAATTGTACTCCATAGGGTTTTCAATAGTTGTGCTGTTTCAGAAGTAGATTGCTCCTATCTTCATAGGCATTTCTAGGTGGATTTGAACCAGAAACCTTTCAGTTAGTAAAATAAAGAAAGAAAAAACTCAAACTCACTGCCATCGAGTCGAGTAGAGTTGACTCACAGCAACCCCTCATTGGGTTTCTGAGGCAGTATCTCTGTGGAAGTAGATTGCCCAATCTTCCTTCCAAGTAGTGTTTAGTGAGTTTGAACCACCAGCCTTCAAGTTAGCAGTCAAATACCTGAGGCACTATGCCACTAGCCAGTGCTTAATCATTTGCACCACCCAGGGATTCCCAATTATTAAATAGCTTGCTTTAGAAATTTATTCTAAAATTAATTTAAAAACTAGAAACAAACATTTCTCAAAATATACATTAAAAGAATATGGCAAGAATGGAACATACGAAGCTTATCATTGCCTGCACAGAATATAATCCTGTTTGTACAGCACAGATATAAACAGATAAGGATGCCATGGACATAGGTAAAAGGCACTAGAGCTCAGGAAGGCCCAGGGATATCATGGCTGCAAAGAGAAGTAAGACAATTGATACTCAGGCAACCCTACAACCCGTATACCACTACACCATGGCAGCCCAGTGAGGAAGGCCCTGAGACTAAGAACTTATGAGCATATGCTTGTCTTTAAGATGAACTTCATTTCCTATAGTGTATGTGGTTAACTAAAACTGTCCTCTGCTTTGTATTTGAATTTCATATGACAATGAATAAGTGCCAAATATTTTAGATCATTTCAGTAGTTCAATATGAATTGCTAGAATATAATTCATCAGTTAAATTTAAAATTATTAATAATGTTGTTGTTATTGTTGTTAGATGACGTCAAGTCAGCTCCGACTCATAGCAACCCTATGTACACCAGAAGAAAATACTGCCCAGTCCCGCACCATCCTCGCAATCCTTGCTCTGCTTGAACCCATCATTGCGGCCACTGTGACAATCCATCTCATTGAGGGTACTCCCTTTCTTTACTGACCCTCTACTTTACCAAGCATGATATCTTTCTCCAGGGAATAGTCCCTCTGACAATATGACCAAAGCACAGGATTAGTCTGGCCATTCTTGCTTCCAAGGAGCATTGTGGCTGCACTTCTCCCAGGGCAGATTTTGTTCGTTCTTCAGGAAGTTCATATTTTCAGTATTCTTCACCAACACCAGAATTCAAAAGCATCAACTCTTCTTCAGTCTTCTTCTTCATTGTCCAGCTTTCAAGTGCATATGAGGTGACTGAAAATATCATGGCTCGGTCAGGCACACCTTAGACTTCAAAGTGACATGTTTGTTTCTTAATATATTAGAGAGGTCTTTTGCAGCAGATTTGCCCAGTGCAATAAGAAATCTGATTTCCTGACTGCTGTTTCTATGGGTGTTGACTGTGGATCCAAGTAAAATGAAATCCCTGACAACTTCAATCTATTCTCTGTTTAACAAGATGCTGCTTATTGGCCTGGTTGGGAGGATTTTCTTTTTCTTTATATTGACATGTAAGCCATATTGAAAACTGTAGTCTTTAATCTTCATCAGTAAGTGCTTCAAGTCATCTTCACTTCCAGCAAGCAAAGTTGTGTCATCCACATATCTCAGGTTGTTAATGATTCTTCCTCTAATCCTGTTGCCTCATTCTTCTTCATATAGTCCAACTTCTCAGATTATTTTCTCAGCATACAGACTGAATAAGTATGGTGAAAGGATATAACCCTGATTCACACCCTTCCTGATTTTTAACCACGGAGTATCCTCTTGTTCTGTTCAAATAACAGCCTCTTGGTCTATGTACAGTTTCCTCGTGAGAACAATTAAGTGTTCTGGAATTCCCATTTTTATCAATGTTAGCTGTAATTCATTATGATCTACACAGTCAAATGCCTTTGATAAGTCAATAAAACAACACAGGTAGACATCTTTTTTGTATTCTTTGCTTTGAGCCAAGATCCATCTATCAGCAATGATATTCCTTGTTCCTTGTCCTTTTCTGAATCCAACTTGAGTTTCTGGAAATTCCTTATCAACTGTTTGAATTATCTTCAGAAAAATTTTACTTGTATGTGATATTAATGATATCATTAGATAATTTCCACATTCTGTGGGTTCACCTTTCCTTGGAATGGGCACAAACATCAGTCAATCTCTTCTAGTCAGTTGGTCAGGTAGCTGTCTTCCAAATTTCTTGGCATAAACAACAGTAAGAACCTCCAGCACCCATCCATTTGTTGAAAATCTCAGTGGGTATTCCATCAGTTCCTGGAGCCTTGTTTTTCATCACTTCCTTCAGTGCAGCTTGGACTCATTCCTTCAACACCATTGGTTCTTGATCATATGTTACCTCCTGAAGAAGATGGGTAGTGACCAGTGACTTTGTATATTTCTTCCATTTTCTTTTGATGCTTCATACATCATTCAATATTTTACCCATAAAATCCTTCAGTATTGGAACTCAAGGCTTGAATACTTTCTTCAGTACTTTCAGCTTGAGAAATGCCAAGCATGCTCTTCCCTTTTGTTTTCCTAACACCAGGACTTTGCACATTTCACTATAATACCTAACTTTGTCTTCTGGAGCTGCCCTTTGAAATCTTCTGTTCAACTCTTTTATTTCATCATTTCTTCCATTTACTTTAGTAACTTTATATTCAAGAGCAAATTTCAGAGTCTCTTCCAATATCCATTTTGGTCTTTTCTTCTTTTCCCGTTTTTTTTTTTTAATCACCATTTACTTTCTTCAAGTATGATATTTATGATATCACCTCACACAACTCACCTGGTCTTCGGTCACTGGTTTTCCATGTATCAAATCTATTCTTCAGATGGTCTGTAAATTCAGGTAGGATGTAATCAAGATCATATTTTTGCTCTAGTGGACTTATTTTCATTATCTTTAGCGGCAACTTAAATTTGCTAGTGAGCAATTAATGGTCTGTTCCACAGTTTGCTCCTGGCCTTGTTTTGACTGATGATATTGAGCTTTTTATCACCTCTTTCCACAGATATAATTGATTTTATTCTTGTGTATTCCATCTGGGGAGGTCCATGTGTATAGCCACCATTTATGTTGTTGAAAGAAGATATTTTCAATGAACAAGTCATTGGTCTTGCAAAATTCTATCATGTGATCTCTCACATCATTTCTATCACCAAGGCCATATTTTCCAACTACTGATAATTCCTCTTTGTTTCTAACTTTTGCATTCCAATCACCAATAATTATCAGTACACTTTGATTACATATTTGGTCAATTTCAGACTGCAGAACTTTGTAAAATCTTCCATTTCTTTATCTCTAGCTTAGTGGCCAGTTCATAAATTTGAATAATAGTTATATCAACTGGCCTTCCTTGTAAGTCTATGGATATTATCCTATCACTGACAGCATTGTACTTCAGGATAGATTTTGAAACTTTCTTTTTGACAATGAATGAAATGCCATTCTTCTTCAATTTATCATTCCAGGCTTGGTACATGGTATAATTGTCTAATTCAAAATGGGCAAAACCAGTCCATTTCAGCTCATTAATGCTTAGGATATCAATCTTTATGCAATCCCTATCATTTCTGACTACTTCCAATTTCCTTAGATTCATACTTCATACATTCCAAATTCTGATAATTAATGGATGTTTGCAGCTGTTTCTCCCAATTTTGAATTATGCCCCATCAGCAAATGAAGGTCTCATACATACATGTCATTAATGTTGACTCTACTTTGGGGAGGCACCTCTTCCCCAGCTGTATCTTGAGTGCCTTTGAATCTGAGGGACTCATCTTCTGGTACTATATCACATAATGTTTTGCAAATATTCATAGAGTTTTCCAATAATATATCAGACAGGGTTTCACTGTTATTCATAAGGTTTTCAGTAACTAGTTTTTTCAGAACTAGATGGTCCTATTCTTCTTCCAAGTCTGTGTTCTTCTGGAAGCTCTGCTAAAACCTTTCCACCCTAGGTGACTCTGCTGGTATTTGAAATACCAGTGAGATTGCCTCACAGCAATCTGCAAGCCATCACAGTATGAGAAACTGACAGACAAGTAGTGGAAATTATTAATAAATAGACAAAAAAAAAAAAAAAATTAGGAAGACCCCATTACCTACATCTGTCCTCAAAATCATCAAATTTGGGGAAAACAGACTAGGCATATAATTTGAAAATATAACTAATGACCCAGGATGGTATCAAGTGTCAAGTACTTATCTTGATAAGTATCAAGAAAGTGTTTCCAATCAAACTAGATAAGCTGGAATATGATCAACCAGCTTGAGTGATGAAGAAGGCTTTATGGAAATAG